AACAATAAATAAGTAATTAATAAACAAACAAATAAATAAGAAATAAATATTGAAGCCCTGACTTCAATGGGAACTGAAGACAAGAATTACAAGTGCTGCATGTACACTGTCTCCGCCTTCACCACAACTTTAATAGTGCAACTAGTCTTTCCTCTTTTAGAAATGGGGACCAGGCATGGTGGCGCATGCCTGTAATCCTAGCACTCAGGAGGTGGAAGCAGGGGAGGCCAGCCTGGGCTACACAGTTAGCCTGAATTATAAAAGGAGGCCCTGAGGGGGACAAGGGGAGAAAGGCGGGAGGGAAAAGGGGGAAGGCGAGGGAAAGGGACACGGACAGGAAAAGGGAGAGGGAGAGAGAGAAGAGGGGAACCTGGAAAGTTGAGTGACTTGTGCAAGGCCACCCAACTAGTCAGTGGAGGAGCCAAGGACTTCAACTAAAGTCCCTGTGACTCCACAGCTGCAGCTCTGCACTGCTTCTCGAAAGCACCTGGGCTTCCGGAGGCTCTGGGGCCTGTGACTCTGAGTTCAGTCTGTAAGAGATGCCACGGGGGAGGGGTGACTACAGGCACAGTGCTACTCCTCCTCCAGCATGGGTGGTGATCACTTTGAGGGTCATGACACAAATTTAATGGGTCAGCAATACATTCAAAAGAGAGAAAGGGAGGGGGAGAAGAGAACAGAAAAGGAAGGAAGAGGAAAAAAGGAGGACGAGAGTAAGGAAAAAAGAAAAGAATACATTCTTTGGCACCATATGTAGCTAGAATAGTGTTATTTTCTGAAACTTTTGTTCCATCATAGCTTGCATTCTGGGTTGTGAAAAGTCTTTCTTACTGTGAATTGTACTACAAAAAGGTGATTAAATTTCATTCAAACTCAACAGTCATCAGGAAAATTAAAATTAAAATAGATACCACATTTTGAGACAAAGAAGTAGAAACAACCCGAATGCCTCTTAACAGACAAATAGTTGCAAAAACTATTGTATACCCACAGGAAACTAGAAGGGCTCTCGGCTATCCACGTTAAACTGGAGGGGTTTTCTAAGAGTAAGCGGTGTTTGTAAATAGGATCACAAGTCCGCATCTTGTACAGCAATTAACCACTAAGAAGAATATATGCAGTGTATTATTTGTTGAAAAATAAAAAAAAAAATATTAAAAAAAAAAAAAAAAAAAAAAAGAAAAGAGTAAGCGGTGAAAGCACTCTGCAGACCAATGCATGTGGTTTGCTCGTAGTTTGTAAAATAAACACCGGCACTTCCGGCAGAGATGAACTGCAAGGTGGACTGACTGGGGTGGGAGAGAGAAGGGAGAAGAAATAAAAGACCAACAAAGGCTGTCGCTAATCAAGAAAAATAAGTATGTTTGTCACACTCTGCGTGTTATGGGAGACCGTGGTCAGATGCGAACAGTAAATAACAATTGGGTAGTGACTTGGGCGGTCCCTCATCATGTACCTGAAGGTCACTGATTACAGAACAGCCCCCGTGGATATTAGATCCCGGCATGCTCAAGCCCCTTACATAAAGTGGCACAGTGTTAGGACCTGTACCAGTGAGGGCGGACCTTTGAGAGCCTTCAAGTGCTAACAGCGCACTGCAGCACGCATGTGCCACAGGTTCACCACAGCCCACCTATACGCAGCCTCTCATACACTTCATTGATTTACTTTATTTTTATTTTCGGGAGTATCGGGAGTCAAACTCAGGACCTCATGTTTGCCAAGCATGTGCTCCACCACTGAGCTAAACCCCCAGCCCCCCCGTGCACTTTAAATCATCTCTAGGTGACTTCTAAAAGTGAATACAATGTAAATGCTACATAAATAGCTGTTATACTATATTGCTTAGAGAATAATGACAAGCCTGTACAGGTTAGGCACCAACACATTTTTTCTTGAGCATCTTTTATCTGTGGTGAGTTGTGGGGTTTTTTTTGTTTGTTTTGTTTGTTTGTTTGTTTTTTGTTTTTTTAAATGCGGAACCAGGGATTGAACTCAGGCCTTTGCGCTTGCCAGGCAAGCGCTTTTTCTACTGAGCCATCTCCCCAGCCCCTCTGTGGTGGGTTGAATCCAAGGATACAATACAGTATCTGTGGGTGTAGAGGGTTGACGATGATAACAAAATTATAGAAAATGTTTAGGAAAACCAGTAGGGGGAAATGCCATTACGCTCCCCTGGGTCTGCCAGGTGCTTGAGGGCGGGCACCAGAGACGGGAGGAGGCAGGTACTGTACATGGACAGGACCTCTGGGGACCGTTGTAGGAGGGGGTGACTGGCAGGAAGGGAAATTGTTTCATTCTTCTCCCACCCTCCACTTTCCTGCTGGTGGGACTCACTGAGCAACCAGAAATTCAAGAGCCCAGAGAACCACAGAAACAGCCCATCCAGACCAGGCACAGGTCAGACCAAGGAAGGTTCAGAGCAGGGTGGAGGGGGCAAATGACTCTGTGGGAAGTTAGAACAGTAAATGAAAAGATTGAGTACCAACCCACCTGTCATCATTTTTTTTTTTTACATATATAAAATTAAAACATTCACAGCCAGGCACAGTGGTGTACACCTATAATCCAGGCACTCTGAGAGGCTGAGGCAAGTTCCAGGTCAGCCCAGGCAACTTGGCAAGACCCTGTCTCTAAATCAAAAAAGCTCTGAGGGGGCACAGCTCAGTACCAAGCCTCCTACTAGGGAGTTCGATTCCTACTAGGGAGGGAGGGAGGGAGGGAGAGAAACACCACATGGACAAGAATTTAAAAACTACTGGGGCAAATGAGAGTATACAGTTGATTTGCTTTACTGGTAGTATCTTGGATTTGGATTAACGGAATCCACTATCTTCAATAATAATTATATTTTTAAAAGTTGGTTATGCTTTCATGCTCCTCTCCCTCTCCCCCTCCCCCTCTTCGTCTCACCTCCTCTCTCTTCTTTTCCTTTTTTTTATTTTTTGCTGCTGGGGACAGCACCCAGGGCCCTATGAATGGCAGGCACACACTCTACTGCTCAGCTCCACTCCCAGCCACCATTTCTTTTTTTTTTATTCTTTGCAGTAGAACTGATCTCGATTAAAGTTCTGACTCTCCTGTACATGTGCTGTTTCTCTAACTTCCTCATGTCTAAAATGAGAATGAAAACAGGACCTGCCTTATAGAGGATTAAATGAACTAAGAGCTTTCGAGATCTTAGACCAGGGGTTGGCACCTAGTAAATGTTGTATTCGCTGCTATACCATGACAGTGTCACATCCAGAGCCTCCCAGGAAGTCTGCCTAAGGATGGGACACCCAAGAAGCTCACAGTGAGTGGATCTGCCTGTCTCTACCCCTTTCTCCAGTCTCCACACCACCCTGCCAGAGCACGCTCCCTAACCATGTTGCTCTCGTCCATCAAATGTGTCACTGAGAAGTGTTTAAGACTTTTCAAAAGCAGGGTTGGGGATGTAGCTCAGAGGCAGGGCACTTCTCCAGCATGTGCAAGGCCCTGGTTTGATTCCACAGCACTGAAAACAAAGTTCATAGAGATGAAAAATCTATCAATATCCTGAGTTGACTAGTATACAGTGTGTGTATGTGTGTGTGTGTGTGTGTATGTGTGTGTGTAACTGTGACCCTGTGCCCTATAAACATGTACAATTAAAATAGTGATTTGAAATTAAAGTAAATATTAGTGGTCTCCAGACCTTCCAGGACAATTTTCACATTAATGATATGCCCTGCCCTTGCCATCACCTCCAGCTCCAACATCCTCCCTTCCTCAGGTGACCCTCCCTCCCGTGACACCAATGACGCTTCCTGATTGTATTCAAGCTCTGTGGCACACCAAACCCTGAGAGCTCAGCTGGGAGCGCCTTTCCCACGTCAGCGACATGCCAAGCATCACCTCCCCGAGAGCACTTCCCGCCCTTCCTCCTGATAGAGCAGCTTCCTCCTCATCCCACAAGGTTGTGTCACACCACACTCTTTTGCCTGAGTGCTCTGACTGCCCAGCAGCGGCTCCCACAAAGGCAGCAACGGCAACGAGGGTCTTTGTCTCTGGACCCCAGTACAGAGCACGAACACGCTGAGGGCAGATACTTAATCCTTACTTGTCTAAGGATGAAATCTATAAATGAACAAGGTAAATTAAACTGAATGAATCAAATCACTCAGCTCTGTTTTGACTAAGGCACCACTGTCCCAACCATCTGGAAGTTGACCAGCTGTCCTTGACACTGGAGTGGCTGCATGCCTGAGGAAACCCCCAGGGGCACTTGACCGGCTAGGGCCAGAAGGAACTGGTCAGCGGAGACCAGGAGGAATAAATGCATCCTTTCTGAGAGCATCAACTACATGATATTTGCTTTATCAAGAGACTTTCCCAAGCAAATCAATTTCTGGAGCATGCTAAAATACAAACAAACTGCCACCCACCCACTCAGTCCTCAAAGACAATTGGTCCAAAGAGATCGGAGAGCATTCAGACAATTCCACAGTGTTGAGAACACCATCGGATCACATGAACTTTGTTGTCCCCAACCAAGCATGTCTCTACTGAATTTTTATTTTATATTCGGCTCCACTGTGAAACACTCATCCCTGTGCTCTATTGTTACGCCCTCCCCAAACCTGTGCACACAGATACACTGGGGCTTCGAGGCACGGGTACCCGTGGAGACAGGCGCTTGGTGGCCCATAATGATGTTACCAGAATCCCTTGATAATGGTGGGTTTTTTTTTAAATCTATTTATAACTGTAACCTATTATCCTATTTTCTATATAATTGGATGTGACTGAGGTTTTACAAAAACCCAGCTGCATAAGAAAAGTCATGCTCTTGTAGAGCAGATGTTTGCAGAGCATGGAAAGCGAATTAGGCTTGAACACAATACCCAGGAACATCATGAGCACTTTTTCCAAAAGCACCGACGCTGATATTTTACATTGGAAATTAATTTAAAGATACAGGATACTGAAATGCAAGGGAGAGAGCCAGAGCTCATTTTGAAAATAGGTTCTAATCTTACCTCTTTAAGGTAATCTGGGGCTTGCAAATCCGGCATTCGATTCGTTCTCCAGTTCAGGGCATTGAAAAATGACTTATAATCTATTTGTCCTTCACTATCTTCAAACCTGAAAATATGTAATTTGATTCAATTTGCACAGCTCAGAACCATGAAAATATATTATCATGTACTCTTTAATGTCTGATATTTTTTTTACCTCCTATTACCTTACTATCTACTTCTGATCTTTCAGAATATAAATTTTCAAGAGCAGGTTTTTTAGCTATTTCACCAAATTACTCCCAATATCTACATCATGTAGTGGGTGTTCAACAAATATTTGTTGTAGCTACCAAAGAAATAAACTTTATATTTAGCAACTATGAATAGTGCTATGTTTTCTTAATATTTGAATGCTATTTTAGTTTAGTGGTTGATATTACGTCAGTAAAATAAAATGTTTTTATATTTTTAAAGTATATACTGTACCTGTTAAATCTTTCAGATAAGACTGGATTAATTTTGTCTACTAGTATATTTTTAGAAATAATAGAAGGCATCTTTACCACTTATCATATGGTCATAAAGGGGGTTATTTAGATCCAGAGTTGCTGTCATATATATAAGTATGTTCTTGATATATTGTTGACTAAAAAGAAGTTATAAAATAAGATGTATATTTGTGATCCTACTTTAGTCTTATATTTATATAAAAAGGCACAGAAAAAGAGTGGTAAGAATAGACTTATATACTAAGAACAACTATTTCTGGAAAGAAATTATGATTTGGACCTTTTCTTTATAATTTTTTATAACATATAGATTATCTTACAGTTTTAATCAGAAAAAGAAGACCATTTTCTTTTGAAAAAAATTAACGTATTATTATCTTGAGCCATTGGGGGCTTGCAGGTTAGCTCAGTTGTTTAAGTGCCCGCTTTGGCAAACACATTCAGGCCCAGGAGACCGTGGTTCGATACCCAACTCCACATGCCTCACCAGACCCGCCCGTAAGGTAGCCTGAGCCAAACCACCCCCTGAAAAAAAATCCTTATCTTGAGCCATAATAGTACAGATGAAAAATAACATTTCTTTCATCCAAGTATTAACCAGGCCCGTCCCTGCTTAGTTTCCATGATCCGACGAGATTGGGCACATTCAGGGTGCTAAGGACATAGACAAAAAGTAACGTATTTCTTATACCACTATTTCAGGCTTTCATTCATCATTAACCATAATAATGCTTTGGCCATTAAAATACAATAATTTCAGATAAGCATGGTAGCTCACACCTGAAAGAAGATAACAGGTTTGAGTCTCACCCGTGCAATTTAGTGACTTGAAAAAGAGCCAAGCACCTATATCTCAGTGTAAAGGACACAGGTTCAGCGCTCAGCATGGCAAACAAACAAACCCACAATAATTTCAACACAATTATTATAATCACATAAGCAGTGCCTAAATACTTCTTACTGAAATACTAAGGATATCTAATGCCACATATCCTTAACTTGACCACATGCTGCCACTCTATAAGGTTAAATAAATATCTCTTTTTTTTTTAAGGTTAAATAAATATCTCTTGACCTTGTAGAACCATTTTTTTTTTTTTAAGAAAAGAGTAAGGGTAGTTTGTCACTAAGTTTTTGTTCCAACCCCCTTTCCCTAGGCTCCTGCCCATAAACACTTTGTCTTTCTTCACAAAGTGTTAAGAATAGTTTATATTTACAAACTAATAAAAATTAGCAATGATAAATATTACAAAATGGGGTTACATCGACTCATTCATTTAAACAAAGTGGAATACACAGAGTAAGCAGAAGAGGGAGAGGGAGCTCTGTAATTCTTCTGTGTCCATTTGCTTTGGCCAAGGACTCTGGGCTACAGCTCCAATAGGCTGCCCCCTACCGCTGTTTATCCTTTCAGTTTTGGCTCACTGACCATTTCAATTCCTTGAAAGGACATACTCTCTTTATGGAAATATTTGTAGCCAGGATGCAGGACTATTATTTTATTTGTGTACGTTTAGGGGAAGAACTAGAACTCAATCAACAAAACCTGTTTTGTGAGAACCTTGCCATTAGCAAGGGGCCTTGAAGAAAGTCCTTCTTAATCTCTGAGGAGGAGGCGAAGTCAGGAGGAGGTCATGTAGAGTTTGACTTTTATTTTAAGGAAAAGTGAGAGCCACTAGCCCTTACTATACTGAAAAATGCTCAGCCCCTCAAGGTCAAGAATGATTACCACTGCCCCCCATGCATGTGTTGAAACCCAGTCATCAGTATGAAACTGTTAGGGGAGAAGTGTTTATATCAGTATCATAGGCAGAGCCCTCATGAATATTAGCTCTCTTACAAAAAAGACACCCCAGAGAGCTCCCTTGCCTCTTCTGCTATGAGGACCTGGAGGAAAGAAGTCACCTATGACCCGGACACTGAATCTGTCATCACCTCGATCTTGGACTTAGCTTGTAAAAATGTAAAAAATGGTTTTCTGTTGCTTATAAGCCACCTAGTTTGCGCCTTCTGTGGTAGCAGCCTGAATGGAGTAAGATAGAAGCAAATATATTTTTAGTTTTTTGTTTTGTTTTGGTTTGTACAGGATCTCACTACACAGCTCAAACTTGTATTAATCCTCCTGTGTTCTGCCTCCCCAGGGCAGGGATTACCAGTGTGCGCCACCATGCCCGGACTCCATCACCGGTGCAGCACACCCGGGGGGCAGGGCCGGTGTGGCATGTGGTGCTGGGGATCAAACCCTGGTGCACTGTGCTTACCTAAGCAGGTGCTTAGTCCGCTGAGCTATCTTGCTGGCCCTGAAGCAAATATATTTTTAGCAAGATGACTCCAACTGATGCAAGGAAAGTGGTGGCAGTAAGATGTGGCTAATTTGGAAGGTTTTATGATTCCAGAATGTACATAGTGTATAAGACACAGAAGGAAGATTCAAGATTGTGTAAAGACTTTTGTCTTATTTATCAACTGGAAACACGGAGCTGCCCCAACTGAGATGAGAAAGACTACAGGGGCGGCAGGTTATAAGGCAAGACTCTGAGTTCAGTTTGGATATGTTACATTTTGATGGGGATAAAGCAGCTGGGATTGTGAGTCTGCTGTTCAAGAAAAAAGTCGCCTTGAAGACACACGTGTAGGCCTCATTGACTATTTACATAATATTTAAAGGCGCAGGATTGGGAAATTAGATGAGACCACCAATGAAATAACTGTCTCTGTCCTTCCCTTACAGTATGCAATTGTTAGTAAATTCCCATAACATGAACTACAAGAAACACTTATTTAATCCTAGAGCTCAGCAATGTAAGTACTTCACTAATTTGAGAACCAGTCACTCGACTGCCAAATGGATTTAGGACCATGTCAGACTTCCCTGCTCACATGCAATCTACGAAGCAGTCCAGTGGGTTGCACAACCACAGCATATTGCAAATCGGCCTTCTTCTGTGTACCTCTTGCTACTTACTACTCCCTAATCCAAATCGCTCATTTCTCACTTGGAGTACAGCAATTGGTTCCCGTTCTGGTCTTGCTACCTCTATCTACTCTCATGTAGCAGACCACCATCTTTGTAACACATGTTCACTCAACCACTTCTTTTTTTTTTTAATTAACTAATTTATTTATTTCTTTTATATTTTAGGGAAGGGTCTACAGGGTGTTCAGGGTCTTACTACTAGATTGGACTCGTAGTGATCCGCCTGTTTACAGCCTCCCAAGAGCTGGGATTACAGGTGCGCGCCACCACGCCCAGTCTCAATTGCTCTCTCAGTGCGCACTAGGGGCAGGGCGGGCATGGCAGGCCTGGGGATTGAACCCCAACCTCTGTGCCTGCTTGCAGGTGCTTTAATCCACTAAACTATTTGGCTGGCCCTTCAATCACGTCCTTGCTTGAGTCCTCCAATGGCTTCTCAGTCCACTCAGAATGCAAGCTAACTCCTCATCAGGTCTTGTAAAACCCAATTTGATCTGGCTCCTGCTAAGCTCTGACTGTAGCTCCTCATTGAGAACTCTCCCTAGCTCTCCCCTAGTGTCGCAAATAGACTGGCCTTCTTCAGCTTCCCTGATCATGCTGAGGCGCTTCTCAGACATGCAAGGCATCTGCACCTTCTGGTCCCTCTGTTGGCAAAGTCTCCGTTCCAATGTCACTTCCTTAGGAAGGTCTTCCTGAAGTTCCCCTTACCTGAATCACTCTGCATGAATTTGCATTTGCCCTAGATGATGGCACTGGAACTCTCAGAAAAAATCCCTAAGAGGTACTACAGGAAGTTCTGCTAGACCCCACTAACTAGGATATTTGCTCACATTTACTTGGTTTGCCCCAAATGCTCAGCCCTCTTTTCTGCCCAGTAATGACAAGCGAAACTCTACACATTTAACCACTTTGGAGGATTTTGGGGAAGGATAGTTCTGAATCAAATGATACTCAAAAAAGAATCAAAAGTTGTAAATGAAAGTGTACAAAGCTGAAAATGATATGCAGATTTTGTGTTTGAAAAGAAACAAAACAATTCATCTTTCCAAAATACCAGAGCCAAGCTTAAAGGAAGAGTTAGCTAACATGTTAAAAATACTCCAAGCTTTTCTCTTCCTCTGTGTCTTTGAAGACTTCAATGTGTGGCAGACTGCCCTGCACTTCTACCAAGGAGAATAGGGGAAAAAAATAATGACAAATAGATCTTTCAATTGAAAGAGTTACACAGGGGCTGGGGAGATAGCTCAGCTATCTAAGTGCCTGCCTGGCAAGCACAAGGACCCGAGTTCAATCTCTGGTACCACATGCCGTGCCAGCCCTGAAACTGGGTGTGGTAATACATGCCTGTAATCCCAGCACTAGGGAGGCTGAGAGAGGTGGATCACTGAGTCTATGAGTCTGAACTGTGTAGTGAGACCGAGTATCAAACAAATAAATAACTTTTTAAAAATTTCAAAAACAGGGCCCGCCAAATAGCTCAGTGGATTAAAGCACATGCAAGCAGGCACAAGGGCCAGGTGTTCCATACCCGGTCCTGTAGTGCCAGCCCCGCACCCTGGGGTGCGCTGAGACAGCAATTGAGACTGAGTGTGGTAGCACATGCCTGTAATCCCAGCTCTTGGGAGGCTGTAAACAGGCGGA